ATCCAAGTTCTCTAACGCTAACTGAGACGGAATCAATGCAAGATCTGGTCATATGCATATAGCACCTATTGGGTAGGGCACTGTCCTGTCGAGACAGGGATGCTGGGTTCGAATCCCGTTTGTGGATCCTTCTTTTGTTTGAACAATCCAGTGCTGGATCAAAGTTGTTTGTTGAACTGACAAGGACTCATCTAGAGTGTAGCTTAGGGAATTTCCCTGGACGTGTACCCCTTGAATCTCTATCGACCTTGATAGTATTCACTTTAAAAAATCAAGCAATGAAAAGTCATCCACAGTAATATTTTTGGTAGAAGCATGCCTAGTCATACTAAAGTCAAAAACTGTGTTCACCCTGATAATCCGCCATGCCCGAAAATTTGGTGAATATTGTGTTTGAGTTCAGGTACCCTAATATCTAAAGAGACTCAAGGGTCATACACGTTCCGGGAAATTCCTTAAGCTACAGTCTAGACGAGTCTTTGTCAGGTCAACAAACAATCTTGCTCCAGCATTGGATTGTTCAAACTGTTGCAAGAGAAGAATCCACGAGCAGGATTCGAACCCAGCACCCCTCTCTTTCCAGAACAGTGCCCTACCAATTAGGACCCGGTTACACATGCACTCGAAAGTAGCGGATCCGCTGAAGCGACATCAAACGAGCGAAAAATACAAGGGTAACAGCGAAAAGCGGAGCTTCCGCTTCAGTGGAAACTCCAATCCGCTTCCTCCAAAATTTTCGAAGCGAGACTGTCGCTTCTGCGGTTTCGCTTCAGCGGAAAACACCACGGTCTGCTGTATATGGACTTGATACGAGAAATTTGTATGCATATGTCCATGCAACAAAAATGCGTGCAAGATAGTCATTGACCTTGTCTATTCTCCGTGCCGTGTGCACCACAATCCACTTTACTCTCATTTTCCGCCAAAGTAGGAGTTTGCCCTGTTTGTATGTGTGACCATACACACGTGGTTTCGCTGGAGCGACACCAGGCTCGCTGTCGCAAAACCTTGATGCCGAAGCGAACCCCAGTGCATATGTTACCGGGCCCTTAGGCTACCGGGGATCACACACACCCATCCCGTGGGTCCTTCTTTCTACAAAACTCACTAGTGCTTTGCTGCGGTCCATGCTTGTCCACGAAGGCTGTTGCTGCTGTTGCTGCTGATGGCGTTGCTGACGTGCTAGCTGTGGCTGCTCCGGGGGTTGCTCCCGGGATTCAGGTGATGCTTGCGACCGTGCTGGCAGACCACCAGACCGCGCCGGTGGTCTCTACAAGGAACGGAGAGATCACCAATAACAGGATTCAACACAATAAATGAAGCAAGTTGCCCATTCATCATGCACATCTTTTGCGAGAGGTTAATAACAGGATTAGGATATTTTCAGAACAAATTCACCATGCACATAGAGAATTGGAGCACATATTAAAACGGTGCCAACTAGCGGGTATTTAGGCAACACTTACCGTATCACTATTATCAGATAATAGCTGGCAATCCCAAGGTGACTTATATGATACAGGAAATGCCTGCAGTACCCCCTTTTATACGGTAACATAGTCCAGGATGGCGCTAGGCGTAAGCCGCATGTTACTAAGTGTGAACAGGTAAGTGAGAACTTACGGGGAGGGGGGATCGGTGCTAGCTTGTGAATGCATTTTCTGGCCCACTGGGCATGGTGTTGCTCAAAAGTGATAGAATTTGTGTGAAATGAATGGTAATGTAGGAGGCGCTGGCTACACAGCCAGGGAGTGCGAGAACAGGCTCACTATTGCCACTAACTCAGGTGCTGCATCACGTGATGATATTGAACTTTGGTAGCAGCAGCAACTTGTTCATGTGGGAACAAGCTCTATTCTACTACAGGTGATATTTTGTCTGTTTTGCTCGCACCCCCCCCCCCCTCTCCCCTGACTGTGGTACCTGCGCCCTCTTTTTTACTCTCAATTTTGCACCACATTTAGCACTTCTGAGCAGTGAAAGATAGACTCGGATCTGATTTACATTAGCATTCGTTCATCACTTCGACTAGCCTGCATCCAGTAGCTACTGACTTACTTCTGTGGCTTTCAGGTTCACCCTTCGCTATGCCTTCCACGTACTCTGGTCTGCTCGAAGTGTAAGGCCACACTTACAGTACTTTGACGCAATTTCCGTAAATACATCACCATAGCATCCTCAGCTACTCAACAATCGTTCCATTCCTTTTTCGTCATCATAATAATTATACTGCTAGCAGTATAAATCTCAGGAAGCATAGACGCCTAGCGCCTGTTAGCGATCCGACTTTGGAATAAAGGTACGACGACAACAACAAAAACAAGGGATAGGCAAGGGAAATGCGAAAAGGGGAAGGGATGGGGATAGCCAGGTTCTCATTATGTTTTGTTTGTTTCTGCGACACCCCAATGCAGAGGAACGACTGTCTGTGTGTTCGCTCTTACATGTACGTGCTTGCTGGTCTTAGTTCGTTACCATGGTTAGACAAAGCGCCTGAGGCCAGGGAGGTGTCGACATCTTTGTCAAGGAAGCATGTAGAAAGGACTAGATACCGGTACGGCGGTAGTGGCAAGTAGTGCAGTAGTGGCCTGCTTTTGCACAAAGCCTGGCATCACATGCTCCCACGAAGCAGAAAACGCGAGAACCTACTCAACACAGACTGAGTCAGTCCTGTACAGAACAACAAGGACAATCAAGACTAATTATTTGCTGCGACTTGAAGTAGTTTCATGCTCTCGCAATCATCAGGCAACATGAAGGTTGGGTGCCGACCATGCCAGTATAATATACCGGTATGCCAGGAGAAGGTATGAAAAAGCTGTGAGAATGTGGGGCTAGCGGTGCTATCTTACTTAGGCAGGAGGCTGTGTGCAGAGTTTGTGGTTGTTGAAAGCAGGGGCTAGCAGTGCAATGTTAGCGCAGAATGTGTGGGTGGTGTGGGCAGGAGGTGGTGAGCAATGATTATGTGTGTGGATGTTGTAGGCAGGAGGCTATTCTAGAGCTAGCAGTGTGATACTAGCGCAGTGTACATGTATATGGCTGGTGTGGGCACAGTTCTGTATGTAGATTTACTGTCTTGCTGGCCGTCGGCTAAGCCAGGCAGGCCATAGGAGTTATGTAGAATTATTATTTGTAACTCTTTTTGCGCCTTTTTGCACCTCCAATGGCGCAGCTCTTGACCCGTCATTTCCACTGGGCAGTCGCCTTGAAGTCACTTCCGATGCCGCAGGTCCTGACTTGGCCCTTCCAACACATCGCCTGGTCACCCGTCGGGTGTCTGATTCTTCCGTTGTCTTGATCAATGGCTTTCGTGGTGGTCTTCCACGCTTTCACCCACTTACGCTCGTTGTCACTTCCAGTATTGCCGCCTGCTGGTCTCCTCCAGTACGCATCTGAACCTGGCTGCGAGTGACTCTTCGAGTAGGTGTCCCTGGCATTGTCTTCTTCTGTGTAGTTTCACCAGATCTGCACCTCTTTGCCTTGCCGACGGGTCAAGAGCTGCGACATTGGAGGTGACGAAAAAGACGCGACATTCTAGCAATCAGCAGTTGGCTATCAAGAATCATCTGTTGGTTAGTGATAGTTGTCGTGAGTTGTACAGAGATGATGTTTTCTCCGTTTTGGCCCGTGGCAGATCTGTATAACATTTGTCTGTTTTGGAAGCGTTGTATATTCGTAAGTTGTCCAGTGAACTATGTGTTCAGAAGGAAAATGTGTTATCACTTCAGTCGTTTGGCGCTAATCCTCGTGAAAGTGTAAGGAATGCTTCTCCTCGCTGATGTTTTCATTGTGTTTTAGTCATTTCTTCACCTTCACCCTGTTTTTTGACAAGTTCTGCTGAATTATATTTTTTCCCACGCGTATAGCGTGAGGTTTTCGATCTATGCTTTTGCTGTAGCTCTATAAGTTGCTGTATTTTGACATTTTCCATTATTCCCTGTACCCATGATGAGAAGGGAACGAAAACGTTGGGTTACAAATTGGCTTACTTGACTGTGTGGATGCGTCGGTGCTGACACCTTTTCTTTCGAAATTGGATCATGTGACGCCTCCAATTTTTTCCTTACATTATTATTATTATTATTATTATTGGACTCAGATTGAGAGCCAAGGTTTAATTTATACAAAGAGAAAGACCAAGGAACTACAAGTTCCGCTATTGTCCACTAACACCTACCAAGTAGGAAGGCTGTTGGAGTGCGCATCCAAGATGTGCTAGAGCTGTTAGCCAGTTAGTTGTAGAACGTCAGGACCGTTGGTCAGTGTCGTGCAATGTTATCGCATGAGCTAATTGTTTAGTAACTGGTGGTGTTAGTGGACAGTATAGCGTAACTTGTAGTTCCTTGGTCTTTCTCTTTGTATAAATTATTATTATTATTAACTAGGTCGTCAAAACCTCGTTAGTTACATGTATGTCCAGTGGTTGTCTCTTGTTGTCGCACTACATGTCACGCTTATTGAGTTTTCTCGCACTAGCACCTTTGTGTCATTATTGCAATTTTCGCTGTTTACTTTACCTATCTTCTTTTTTGCGCTGTTTTACCACCTTCTTACTGCATTTAATCCACTGTTCCTGTTCCTTTTCCCTTTTCTGTATTTCACGTGACGAGAAGGCTTGAAAGTATACTTGTGAAGACAAAAACTTTCAAGATGTTTGTAATGAGCTTGAAGTGTGTCCTTTTTATGAGTGTTATTAACTGGGAACGTTGGCACACCACAGGGTGACAGTCTTAGTCCGATTCTGTTTACATGCTACTTTGAGAGTGCACTGCGACGTATCAGATCTGACTCCCCTCCTGACGACATCCTACCACCTGAACCTCCACCTGCAGTATGCGGATGATCTAGACTTTATTGGAACTGATGAGCAAGAGCTAGAGGACGTTCATGATCAATGTGCAGAGACCCTCCCAAGCCATAACCTCACCGTTAATACCTCCAAAACTGAACGAACAAAGATATACCTGGCTGATGATCTGGAGGAGCGTGGTTCCGAAGCATGGAGAAATGCGAAGTCGCTGGGATCACGGCTAGGCTCAGCGCAAGATGTCCAAGCCAGAAAGGCTCTAGCAACCCAGGCATTCTGTTCGTTGTACGCACTCTTCAAGCATCAATCTACCTCACTACTGCTTAGAGTTGCGCTGTACAATACCTATGTGAAGCCAGTGCTGTTGTACAACTGTGCGACAAGGGGTCTCACAGATGCCACCACCAGAGGGATTGACACCTTTCATCGAAGGCATCTGAGAACAATGGCTGGCGTTAAGTTCCCGAACACAATTACCAACAAGCATCTGTACGACATCTGCGGCTCAGCACCAATTTCGCTCGAGATTGACCAACAGCGTTGGGAGTTCCTTGGTCACGTACTGAGAATGCAGAAGAGCTCTCCCCCACAGCGTGTGTTAGAGTTTTCAGCCACTGCGAGCCTGCGCGGTCGACTGGGCCGACCCAGGACAACTCTCCTCTCAGCTCTTTCTCAGGACTGCCTAGCCCGACTCGGCATTCGCCTGGGCACGCTTAGAGGCCTTAATCAGCTGCGGCAGTTGGCAGGGGACAAGTCACGGTGGAATGGCACCCCGCGGCACTCATCTTCCTCTGCCGAGCCGCGTCCTTGACTTATCCCCTGCAGGTTGAACATCGTGCACGCCGAACAGTCTACCATCTTTCTGACATTGCCACTCGAACTTGACAATAGATGCTGCTTTTCGTATGTGCAGTTACATTGAGCCATGGTGTTTTTGTCTTATGTTTGTGAATCCTTCCCGGAAGCAAATGCTGGTTTTTATGCATTCGTGTAATTACTCAGCGTTATTTGCAATAAATAATAAATAATAATATTAACTGGTTTGAGGGAAAGAGACAAACGGGAAAAGTCTGAAGAAAAAATTGACTGTTACCAGCAGGACTCGAACCAGAGACCCTCGCTTGTAGCCAGCGATGCTCTAACTACTGAGCTATGGTGAAGTCGTCATCCCAGCAGAGACCGCTCAACGTTTTCTTCAGACTTCGTAACTCACACTTCCTGTGAATCCACACAGGCGGGTGGGACGCAGCCCTCACTGTACCCACACACTTCACGTACAAACTAGCACGCGGGGAGCCCCAAGGCAGAAAATATTAACTGGTTTGAGGGAAAGAGACAAACCGGAAAAGTCTGAAGAAAAATTGACTGTCATTATTATTATTAAATAATCTACGTGGAGATAAAAGTTTAATAATAGCTATGAAAAGTATGAATGCCGCAGACATCACCACGCAACATGACAATTTGTTCAAGGTTTGGTTTTGTCTGTTTCCAAAATCGATTTTCAAGCTCCGATCATCAGTGGAAATACGGAACAAAAGTGATCAAGAGAAAAACAAAGGTTAAAAATCCAAAGAAGTGTGACACATGACGGGTAACTTGTGGTAAGTATTACAAACAAATTATTATTATTATTATAATTTGTAGTTCCGGTGGTAGATCTCCATGGACAGAATAATCATGGGTGGATCAAATGAAGTGCCATGCCCAAGACTCAAGAATAGATGCATGTCACCTATGTCAGACAGCGCTTGTTGCTACATGACAAGCACGCAGGACGAAACCAAACCGCCTTAAACTGGTCGGTAAAGACAGGGACAGCTCAACACAAAGCTGCATGATCTATACCATAAGAGGTACGAACATGATAATTCTAAATTTCTAATGTCATCGCATAGTCGCCAGTTATTGACTGAGGACGAGGTCAACATAGGAAAAAAGCCGGGTAAAAGATAGAGGTGAAGCCGGGGTATTTTACGAGGTTCCACCTATTTCGTATGTTAATAGTACGAAGACAGCGAGGTTCGCCCCCCTTGTCGGGCATTGGTTCAACCATTGTGAGACTTACCATCTCAGCCTCGCCGTTAGGAGCTGCATCTGCCACCCAGGTATCACAGGCATAGTGGTGGCCTGGCACATGCACAACTTCCTAAGCTGGTTGTGTTTCTCAATACAATTGAATTGCATAGCCGGTGGTAACGCGGAAGTGCGAACTTTACTTTTTTTTAACAAAGTCACTACTAGATTGTTGTCAAGACAACGCAAAACATGTCTTTTGATCCCTAAAAAGGAGTCAAATACAAACAGTCAATATAGCCCTAGCTTGCATGAGGAGTGAAATATGAAGAAATACAACTGCTTAGGTATTAGTCAATGGGAGTCAATACTAAAAGAGTGATAATATGCCAGGGGGCCCGCAGCAACCATGCGATAACAAATGTCTTACATTGCTCACAGAGCAGACCTTTGGGCTGTTGACTGTTGTTAAAACTTGCCAAAAATGCGAACACATTATGACCACAATGTATATTGACGTGATAGTTATTATTTTTAAATAAAACTTTTATTGTATGTATGGGTAACATATCCAGTCTGTATTGTGGTTGTGCAACAGGTGTGTGGGCCACAGGCATATGAATCTGCTGCATGATCAGCCTCCTTCTCCCCTCTCCTTGTGAGTTGGCCTTGGCGGATAATGCTCGAAAAGGTGGCAGATTCTGCTTTTTTTGCACCGAAATTGGCAGAACCATACAAACCTTATGGCGGGCAATTCCTCGAATTCTGCTCCATTTCTTTATCCACATACCAAACATGCATGAAACTCACCAGAAAAAGCACCGAATTCTGCCAATTTTTCTGCCGGCATTATCCGCCAAGGCCTACTTGTGAGTGAATTAATGAATAATCGAGTTTGTAAAATGCAGCTTCGTGTGATTATGACAATGCTACAAGTAGTTGTTTGCGAGCAGAGTTGTGTGTCGACGTACAATTGTACATGTATGCGGTTTGTGACTCCCTACTCTTCGTCGTCGCCTCCCCTCCCCCGTACGCTCTACATCCTCCATCGTCCCCGGGCCCCCGTACTCTCCCCCACCCCACCCCACCGCCCCCACGTATTCTTCCCCATCCCCTATACCTCTGTGTCCTTCTCCCTCAACGCCTCTCATGAATAATTATGTTCATCTAGACTACAGAAGAACCTTGACAACGGGTCACAGTGCCTATCAATACACGGCATACAGAGCTTAGTACAAACGAACATCCGTTAGAAGAAAAAGTGATTTTTAAACGTCTCTACTCACTAGTTTCATGCTGGAAAGCAATCTTGAGACATTTAATCTAGACTACTACTGCATCTCTGAGATGGGTCATGTCCTCCCACCAGGGACTGACCACAGAAGTCAGCCAACCCTTGCGCTAACTTTAGCTGCCCACATTGGGAGTTCAGAAGTTGTAGTGATGATCAGATGTGGAGGGCAGGAGCACAAATTAAGTTCACAGGAGGTGCACGCATCCGGATAATTGCACCTCGAAGGAGTCAATGGCCTAAAGCTAATGGCTACGGCGAAGGCAGAGGTGCATATT